TTCTTTTCTGCAAAAGTGATGTGCTAATTTATGAGTTACCAACTGTATGTCAAGAACAACTTCCCCATAAGTAAATATTTAATTCTGTTTTTAAGGAATTAGAAGAAACTCATTGAAACAATAAAAATGCATCTATTGTATAAACTTAATTAAAAGAGCTCTATCATCTCTACAAGTTCTCATAGGGAGTATTTTTCCTAAGTCATCTTGTGCTCAAAATCTAAAGATCACTTGGAATAGACAAGACTTTCCTAACTTGAGGCAAATATAGATATTGCAAAGGAAGGTGAGAATATTTACAACTGCCATGTAAGAATAGGAATGGGAAATGTAGCAGATACAAGTCAGTATTTACATTACATTGGTAGAATTTATAATACTGGCATAACTAGAGTGCACTTTATTATAGTGGCTCTAAGCCATTAACTAAGGCTCTGGCATCAGAAGAATTCAGTCACTAAACAAGGATTTGTTGAGCTTCTACCATGTAGCAGGCTCTGTTCTAGGGTTGGGTTCAGTCTACAAGTGAATGAGACAAACCAGGGCCCCATACTTTCATATATTCTAGGCTCAGTGAGATACAAATTAATTAATTAAATAAATAAATATTTTAAAAATAACAGTGTTTTGGGAGAAACCGGGGAAGGGGAAGGATACCTTAGACTTGGAGGCAAGGCCAAACTTCTCTGAAGTTATACGTGAGACGAGCTTTTATTTGGTTGGTTGGTTTGAGGTTTTGCTTGTTCATGTATTCCCTTGTTTTCTGATCCTAAGCTCAAACCCAGGATCATACTCATGAATGTTCTACCATGAAGTTACAACCCCAGCCCAGGAAAGGAAGACAAGAACAAGACCTCAGAGAAGACCCGGGTCAGAGAAGGAGGACAGGGCCTAATGTGCAAATACATTTGGATTGTTCATGGGATGAGGAGAAGACCATGGCATGCAAGGGGATGACTGGAGAGGGTGGGGGTGTGCAAGCGGTTGAGAGAACACCAGGAGACATTTATTTCTATTCTGGGTCATTAGACTGTTTTAGACAGAATGACATGATGTATCCAGACATTAAAGAATCATGTGGCTAATACAGTGCTTGGCACTTACTACTGTATGTCCTTACACCAGATAGATGACCCGTCTTAAAGTGCAGGTAGTTACAACACCTATAACTTAGAGTCAACAGAGGCTATGCAGAGAAATGACCCATCTTACAGTGCAGGTGATTACAACACCTGTAACTTAGAGTTCACAGAGGCTATTCAGATAAAGCACTTTAAGGACTATCTGACACATAATAATTGTTCAGCAAATGTTCTAATCTAAATCATTATCACAGAATTAAATAATGATAAACAGAATCGGATAAAAATCACTCTTCCAAGTGTGTAGCCAGTTATATGAAATAGCAACATAACTCCAGTTATGTGAAATAATAACTGGTAATATCTTCAAAATTCATTCTGATTCCATATTCTGAGAGGCTACATATTTACATACTGAATATTGCCCCTCCCCTGACCCTCTAATATAATTCTTGGTTATTGTATACAGTCTTATTTACAATTATGCCTTTACTCTCACTCTCTCTCTCTCTCTCTCTCTCTCTCTCTCTCTCTCTCTCTCTCTCTCTCCCTCTCTTCCCCCACTCCCACACATACATTAGACCACTATCTTTGTGGACTCCAAATCCCACATATAAAGCAGACAGGCAGGAAGGTAAGTAAGTGGATCAATGGCCTAGCAGGTGTAAGGAAAACAAAAGTCATAGGAACAAGAGAAAAGTAAGTGTGCTTCAGATTAAGGTATTAAATGTAATTTTAAAAAATTAAGCAATGAGTATATAAAATGTATAACTGGAAACTGCTATGATTTTGGGAATTTCCATGACACTGCACATCATGCTAAAATTGTAACAGAAGACACCGCCATGGTGTCAGTACTCACTGCCTTCCCATCTTGCTTCATGTGTTTAGCAACCACCGAGAAACATGAAAGAACTACTTCTTGTATTTGCCAAAGTGCTGAAAACTATAAGTCATACAACCAAAATTGTGAAACCCTCTGTGCTTGTCTTTTCCTTAACTACTGCTTTTCAAATCATCTATTGTGTGTGCACACACACACACACACACACACACACACACACACACACACACATACACACCCTTGGGAAACTGTAAGTGATGAGGATTCCAGTTTCCAGGTTTTAATACCAAGATCCACATGAGACTTGGAAACAGTTGCCCACTGATCTTCCATCTCAACAAGCAAACTCTGCCGGGCGGTGGTGGCACACGCCTTTAATCCCAGCACTTGGGAGGCAGAGCCAGGCGGATCTCTGTGAGTTCGAGGCCAGCCTGGTCTCCAAAGCGAGTTCCAGGAAAGGCACAAAGCTACACAGAGAAACCCTGTCTCGAAAACAAAACAAAACAAAACAAAAAAACATAGGCAAACTCTTCCTCTAAATTTAAAATTGTGGAGTGATCCTATATCCAAAGACAGAGAACCATAGAAAGTTAATATCAATTCAATTAATAGAACTAGTAAAGAGGCAACTTGGAAGAAAGCAGCCCCTTTTATTGGATATTGTTCTGTGACATATCGTTCTGCCTATGGTCTTAATTGGATCTTTGCAATAACTCTAAGAAAACATGGCAGACTGCAATCTGTGTTCTATAGACAGAAAAACTGACACTGATTAATGGATCTGTCTCGTTTTGTATGTGTGCACATGTTGTGGAAGCCAGAGGACGACCATGGACATGTACTTGGAAGCCAGGGGACAACCATGGATGGATGTCACGCCTCAGAAGCAAGACACTGTTTTTCTTTTCATTTTTGTTTTGAGACAGGATCTCTAGTTGGTCAGAAGCTTGCTGATCAGGCTAGGCTTGCCTTCTGTCCAGCAATCCCACAATTTTAAATTTAGAGGAAGAGTTTGCTTATGTTTTTTTTTGTTTGTTTGTTTTGGCCTGCCCTGCACCCGCTGGTACTGAAGTGTGACCACCATAGCCAGCATTTTTTACACAGTATCTAGGGATTGAACTTGGGTCTTTAAGCTTGCATGCATGCACTTCAGTGACGGAGCCATCTATCCCCCCAGCTCCAAAGCTCTTATCTCATGAATACTAACAGATTGGATCCTTTCTCATATTCTGTGCCTTCAGTTCTTGCAACTATCTTATAAGGTAGGAGTTACTTTTGTCCTCACATTGCCATCATCATGTAGGTGAGAAAAACTGAGTCATAAGGAGCTTAGTATTAAGCAACTTCTCTTTGGTCACTCGACCAGTAAATTGGAGGGACAGAATCCAACGTCACGTAGACTCAGCGCAGTGACTCTGAAGTGTGTTGTAATGTTGCCTCTTGAGAGTCTCTTCTCCTAGCTATTCCAGTCCCTCCTGCATTGGATTTAACCCCCCGACAAAGGACATATCTTGAGCTTAGATAAAAGATTTAAATCCCCTCCACACATGTCTAAACATTATCAAGTTGGGCGACCGGTGACTACATTTCATCTTCGGAGTGATGGAGGACCCATATGCAAAGTGCCTAGCAGAAACCCTGGCACAGTGTGTGTAGCTGTCAGTTACTGAGTCTTCAACATGCCTGGCACTGTGCTAAGTGCTTTGCTATATATATATATATATATATATATATATATATATATATATATATGAATGCCATAAATATTAAAACTGTGTGCTTCTCCCTTGACATGCCAGATCCAAACCTGACTCTTTGAAAATTAAACTGGTCAGTAGAGACATCTCCTTTTCATAAAACCAGAATCTTTATACCAATGAGTTATAAGGAACTGTAACTGTTAAGAACGTATCTACATATTAACTTACAGAGGCAAAGTACAAATGGGAAGACTGAAGCCCTGGGCTGGACTCACAATCTAGAGAGAAATTTCCTCTCCAGGAAGAGGAAAATGTAACACAAGAGTTACATGTAAACACACACGCATCATAATATATATAATTTTCCAGACCAAGTCAATGAACGGTAAACAAGTTATCTCTTTGAGCCCTTTTAAATATTATGCTACTTTGATCTTTCAAAACTGAAAGCTCAAGAGGTAAGTGTTAGTGAATATTAACTAAGTTTTACAAAAATAAAAACTATTTTTACAATTATTTTTCAAAAATCTACACATCCTTCAAGTCAAAGCACAGTATCTCCCTTGTAAGTCAGGGAGCTATGACTCCAAAATGATGCCCCTCATTCACTAACTCACCAAAGAATTAATTCACAAGAATCCACCAAACAAGGTCTTACAGCCTTCATGTTAGATGAAATGAAGCAAAACTAAAGAATAACATCCCATTTCTGACTGTAGAATTCATTGTCTGGTAGCAAAAATAGACCCAGGAAAAGCAGCCATAATCTAGATATGTGAGTGACTACTTCCAAAGAGGCCATGATACGATCAAACAGCATAGAAATGGCCAAAAGAAAGACAATGACGACAGGGAAGCCACTCCTTTTCAAAGCACTGAGGGGTAGCAGTGTGTGTGTGTGTGTGTGTGTGTGTGTGTGTGTGTGTGTGTGTGTTTATAAAGTTAAATACGTTCAGCATCACTGAACTTCAGAGAAGAACTGGAAATCTGGAATATCTGCTGAACCTGATAAATTACCCAAATACATCCCTGTCTCCTCCTTCTTCGAATTCCTCTTTGACTCACATACTGCATCTCCCTAAGACAAACGTACAGCTGCTCACAGTAACAGAGGGGGAAAGGTGGGAAATAGTGAATACACAACTGAGGAAGGGACCCGGGCTCTCTTCAGCAACCAATATAAACAATATTGATTTTCAGATGATCTATTCCATATTACTCCACTGCTTCTCCCTTCTATTACTGTAGAGCACTGAATTGTCTGTGCATTTACTTGATCCCACTGAGAGGCCTGAATCACCGCCTGGCAATATCAATCATGCCTTTATGATTCATCCCTACTAAAAGCCTGCATTGAAATGATAATGCACTAACCTGTCTCCAGTTAATGGCAAAATAATGGTTGCTTGAGAAGAAAACACAATGAAGGACAATCTCATTTCAGGGCTGCAAAATAAGGAAAGAGGCAGTTAAAACATTTTTAAAAGAAATATTGGTACAATACAGAGGCAGAGCCAGGGAGTCTCGTTTAAAGTGAGTCTCACTGAACAGTCCCCCGCTTCCCTTAAATGGAACTCCCTAAGTAGATCCACTGACTCTGCTCGGCCTTGCTGTCTGAACGGCATTTCTTTTTACATAGCTGGTGCTTCTCAGCATTCAAAACGCTCCCCCATGACCTACTGGGGTTTACATCTAGAAAGAGAATAACTGGAACGATTCTAGGAGGCTGCAAAATGCTTTCTTAGAAAAAAATGTTCCTTCCTTGGATATTCTATGTGTCATCTCTTTGCAGTAGGACACACCCTTCGGGGTAATAGATAGGAACTACTTAGGGCTGAAGAGGAGCCAGTTTGACTTAATGGCCAGAGTCATGATAAGAGTTCAAACAAACTTCACCCTAAAGCAAGAATACTTAAAGCATTAAGAAACCACTGTTTTGTTTGGCACATTCAACTTTCCAATTTATCTTCTAGGCTTCAGGCACTTATGTCATACAATCATTCCTGTTTCGAAAAAAGTGTATGCAAATACTGCTCAGGCCTGAAACTTAGGACATGAAACTGTGATACAAGCCCGCCAAAGGTCATACTTCGAGCATTGTGCTCGCCTTTTATTCATTTCCTATAACATATAATGAGTAGCTGAGTAACTAAACTTGAGCCAGAGAACAGTATATGCTATATACATCCAACTTGCAAGCCAGATTCGATGAAAAAGCCTCGTTTTCTTCAGATGTTACACTGAAAGGATCCACCGCTCCTGACTAACACTGACTGGCACTCCTAGCACGTTCTAGGATGGAGTTGAAAATTTATAAACAACTGCCTATTCTACTTTGACGATTACAGATACCGGGTCTTGTTTATTTTCTTTCCTAGACTGTTTTACCTCAGAGCCTGTCCAGGAGCCAGAGTGTTCTCTTTGGCTCCTGACGCAGGAGACTGGTGATTGAACACGGACAGGCATACATTTTTATAGGAATAGCTTTACTGCTTGCCAATAACCGAAAGCAGGGATTGCCTAGGCCTCTACAGATTGTTTGAAGTTACTTGCAACATGACTTTCAAAATGTTTTGATCATCCAAGCCTGTTTTACAGAAAACATTTGGGCTAACAAGACTGAAGGAGGCAATATTTAATGACACGGTTCCTATTCGTGTCCTTTCCATTATCCTGATAAACTTGCACTTGTTCCTGACATTTTTTTTCCTTCCAAAAAAACAAGGAGGGGGAGCCACAAAAACATGGTTTCCAAGGGTTATTTTTAAATAGGAGATGCCACTAATTCCTAGTTACTTCTAAATAAGAGACTAAGCTGGATTTCCTAGCAGCCATGCTTTTTATAGGCGAGGAAAACAGTGTTTGCTAGTGAAGCCTCCTGCATATATAGAACAGTTAAATTTTAAACCAGCCGCACACCCACACATTGTGTAAACACAACTCGTTTCTTTAAACACACACACATACACACACACACACACACACACACACACACACACACACGTGCTTTTTCTGCTAGTGGGTTATTAACACATGTTCATTTAAAGTTTTCCAACACTTTTTTTTCCTTTTCAGTGTGGACGTTTACAGTGCTAAGTGTGTGGAATTGAAAATATAGCATGGACACTATTAGCATAAAATTTATTTTTTTTAATGTGATAAATTATGAGAAAGCATAACTCCCAAACTCAAAACAGATGAAAATTGGAAAAGGAAAAGACATTAAGAGTTGCATTTGAAGATGTTTCCCCACTGCCTGGGCCAAGTTTCTGGGAGCCAGATGAAATGAACCTTCAAGGGACAGCTGAAAGGCTCCACGGAACAACATGTGGACAAGGGCCACCTTGAGACGCTCAAAATTCAACATTTCGGGAAAGGTTTTTCCCTACAAAGGGTTTCACAACGGGGAAAGCCGGCCCTGCGGTTTGTTTCCTCTCCAATGCCAAGAAGAGTGAAGTGGGAGACCTACCTCACAAATCGTTCTGTAAGCTGTTGGACAAAATTATAGATTTCAATCCAGTTATTTGCCACACTCCCAGACCTGAAAAATGAAGATAAACTGATCAGAAAAACAAAACATGGGACTGAACTGCAAACATTTCTTCAGTTCCATAGGGCTGGGGGCGGGGTCCTGGCCCCCAAAGCTGAAACTTCAGCGTCTGGACTGCATTGAGGAAGCCAGGAAGACCACACTCCTCTGGGGGCAGCTCGCTTGCGAATTGTTTAGTGTGAGACCAGGCTTTTCAAAATAAAAACACAAGCCCTCATTTCTCAGGAAATGCAAACCACATTGGGTATATTAAGCCTTTTTTCTTGGCTCTCATGAAAGGGCTGTGATCAGGAGAAAATCGGGCGAACTTTAGAGAGCCTAAAGGGGTGTGGATGATAAAGGGACCCAAGGAGCCAAAGAAGTTCCTGGTGTGAAACATGCTGCAGGTGGCCGCACACGCATATCCCCCAAGAGACCCCAAGACTAAATCAAGCAGTGAATGCTCACCTCTGGAGAGCCAAGTAGACCCTGGCTCCCACCACCCCGCTCCAGCCAAAGTGCTTGCTTTTTGAAACGAAGCAGCAACAGGGCACCCTGACGAGGGTTCCCACTGCCCTTCCCCAGAACCCAAACACATCTCAACTCCAGTCCCAGCTGACCCAGTGTTGCCCTCACAGGAGACCCTGACCCCCGTCACTCACTTGTCCAGGACGAAGTACAGATCGAAGGCTTTTTTGCAAGAGGGCTGCTCCTGGGCGTGCAGCAACGACCCCGGACCGCCCACAGCCAGCAGCCACAGGCCAGGCAACAGCCAGCTCCCAGGGCTGCGCGCCCGGGACCGACCCGCCACCATCCTGGGGCCGGGGCCCGGCGGTTCCCTCTGGCTCACAGCCCCTTTGGGCTCTTGGCTCCCGCAGAGCAGAGATGTGAAGAGGCGGAGTCACCAGGGACTCACCCGGGGGTCAGAGGCTGAGAGGGGCTGGGAAGCCCACTCCAAGCTCAGCGCCACCCGACAGCTGCCACGGAGAACGAGAGGGAGGGAGGTCCTGGGAGGACAAAGGGAGTCTCTGCGGCCGTCACAGCTGCCACCGGAACTCTGGACAAATCCCAGTAGGCGCGCAGTGCAGTCCTCCCCCTCCAGATTCCGGAGAGTTGCTGCAGACAATAAGGCCCGAGGCGACAGCTCGCTGGATAAGTTCCTCCTGGCCTCCGGTCGAGTCTCTAGCGCCTACCAGGGACCGGAGAGCTGACGTCCAGCTGCTTTGGTGAGCTGCGGGACAGGCGCCGGGGGACCCCACGATCGCCCCGGGAACTCAGCCGAGTCCTCCTCTTCCGCCTCCCCTCCTCGGACCGCCCAACTCCTCGCGGCACTTTACAACTTTCTTCCCTGCTCCGGGCCCGGCACCGCACCGCCGGGCGATCCTCTGCAGCAGCCGGGGATGCTGAGCACCCGGGGGAGCGGCAGGACGCGGGACACCCCGGGTCTGGGTGCGCCGGCGGCTGTGCTCGCGTGAGGCTGTGCGAGCCCGAGGGCGGGGCGCCGGGAGGAAGCCCGCGGAGCCTCACAAGCACACTTGTGGGTTCGTTCTGAGCAGCGGATGACTAACGCCTGCCAGATTTCAGAAGAGAGAGAGAGAGGAGTTCGGAGAAACAAATGTCCTCTAGAAACTAAACATACCCAACTCTCCCGCAAGCCTGGCCCGGGCCGGTTTCCCCAGCTGTGCTGGAACAGCCCTCCTCCACCTACGGAGGAGACCAGCTGTCTCCTGGGAAGTGATGGCCTTATGCCTCATCCATCCACACCTTTCATCCATCACACACCGACGACCTAGTGATGCAGGCCTTAGTGTTTAAGAAAGGGGACTTCCTCTTTTCTTTTCTTTCCTTTATAAACTTATTTTTTTCATTTCTTATTAATTCTTTGAGAATTTCATGCTGTATGTTTTTGATCAATTCACCCCAACACCTCCCTCTTAACTCCTCTTAGCTGGACCCTTACCTCCCTACATGCATCCGTCAACTTTAATACCCCCCCCCCCCCGCGCCTTTTTTAACAATAACCCATAGACTCCAATTTGAGCTGTCCTTATACTCCTGGGTGTGGGGCCATCCACAAGAGTAGGTTTGACCTACCAAGAACTGCATTCTTAAAGAAAACTCCAACCCCTAGAAGCCATTGACTGTGCATAGCTCCAGGGTGACAGGGTGGACCTTTCCCACTCACTGCTAAAATGTTGGCGAGCTTGCTCTTGTGCTGGTCTTGTGCAGGCAGCCACAGCCGCCCTGAGTTCATGAGTACAGCTTTCCTGTCATGCCCAGAAGACAACGCTTTGCTCTGGTCCTCCCTGACCTCCCTGGCCTTTCTGATCTTTTCACTGACCCTCACTCTAAACCCCCACCCTCTCTGGATTGTCCCTGAGCGTTGAGAGGGGTGTGATTTCTATGTCCCCACTCATGGCTGAGCACTCCACTAACATGTATTCTCTTCTATTCGACCGTTGTGGGTTTCTGCGTTAACCACCATCCCTGCTCTAAGAAACTTCTCTGAGGAGGTCAAAGAGTTGCACTGCTCTCCGAGTAGAGATACAGGAATTTCAAGACATGCGCAGTTTGATTCCATGTCCGTTTAGTCCCCTCTGAGGAGTCAGTTCACTCGTGTGGACTGTGAGCACCGAAGGAGTTCTTGGCCACACTTACAGTATCGTATGTGTTTCTTTCTGCGGAGTGGGACTTAGACCCAATCAGAAAATGGTTGTTACCTCATAGCATTTGTACCATTATTATAGACATGGGCCTATCTTGCCACGCTAGTCATTGTTGTGGTTTGTAGGCCTCACTGGTAGGCGGAACTATTGATTGCTTTTCTCTCTTGGCAGCTCAACAAATGATTTCTAAGACCGTGAGAGCAAGTCTTCAGGGAGACTCCAGGTCAGTTCCTGGAGATTCCTTCGAAGACCAAAGTGTATGGTGTCTTTCGCAACTTAACTTCAAGTTCTGGTAGGCAACCCAAAGCAATAGCAATAGAAGTGATTTGGGGGTCTTTGGGGCATCTCTGACCAACGACTTAAAAGGAGGTTATCCCACACCCGGCACTGGGCTTTTATTTTGCATCTGACCCAGCCAAGAAAAAACAAGGGGACAGCGATCACCAGTAATGGAAAACTTCACCTCAAAATACTTTGTCCCACTCTCGTGATGCCCCAATTATCAAGAATTTCACCTTGAAAATGCTAAATAGTTGAGGGAGATAACTATGGGCAACTTGTAAGCATTGTACAATGTGTACATTGATATGTACAATTTTATGTTTATATATGGATTAAAGAACCAATTTAATTAATAACAATAAGACTTTATTTATGGTGAGTTTCTCTGCTCTTGCCCAAGTCCTTCAGGAGATGAAGTTTGTGTGCAAATTTCTACTTACTGATTCTGCTCCCTTCCTCCTCTCTCTCTCCCCTCTCCTCTCCACCACTTCCACAGGATGACTGACTGATGTGAGGTACCACCTCCTCCTTTGCATTTTCACGACCTCAATGCTTTATAATATGAACATCTTGCGGTATTTACAGGCAGCTCTTTTGAATGTTTTGTTTGTCACCACCTATATTTAACCTTTTATTTATGATGGTTTTGATTTATAGCCAGATATGTCAATGTCAGCTCTTTGAGGATAGGAGACAGTCACTTTAAGGAATATTTATTGAGTACCTATGATGTACTAGGAACTGTTCAGCTAATGCACAGAAGTTTGATAGCAAATGCCTTTTGGGAAACTTGCAGTTGGGTCTCTATTTTCAGTTTTAATTCAAATCAAAAGAGAATTACACTTTAAGTACTTTTACCAACTAATACCATATATATTAATTAGATATATCCTAATTATATCTGAGGTGAATGATGTCTGGCAAAAACTGTGAAAGTGGTTTTAGGAAGCAATTTGAAGAGATATTGTACAGGATGCTGCCCTTCATGAAGAACTTGAACTCTTGTTAATTGGCTTCCTTTGCCTCCAGCTTCTTGACTCCTTGCTTGCTCACCTCAGGGATTTCACAAACTGGTCTAAGGATCTGTCTTCTCTTATACACAAATTATAGCAAAATACACACTGTGTACTCAACACTTCCCTGATTACAAGGCCAATAGAAGTAACTGGTATACTAAACATGTCACTCATGGTTCCTTGGTTGGTTTGTGGAGGTGATGAGCTCAGCATGGTTCTAGAAGTCTTGCATTTCACTTACTTGCTCATGTAAGATCTACAGCAAACCAGGAAACGACCTCACCCAGCACAGATCAATAGTCAACCGAATCACTTCATGTAATAAATATTTGTAGGCAGGTCTTTCTTCATTGGGGTAACCAGCTGTCCTGATTCCCTGCCAACTGTGGGGAGTCCAAGGACATGGGCTAGAGCTAAAACTAGGTCAGTCCCTCCCTGGGAGTGTCCCTGGCAAATGCTGCTGCTGGCCATGCTTTTCACAAGCAATAATGAAGGAGGATGAAAGCCAGAACACACTTGGGAATCTCTCCAGGCCATGTAGGGCTGAGAGGACAGCAGCCCTTCCCTCTTCTATCCTTGTCCAAACTAACTTTCCTTTTTTCCCTAAGACCAGGAAAAGGAATTCAGAATTTCAGGGACTGCAGTGGGGGGAGAGGAAGGGAAGGAAGAAGGAAGAGATGAAGATACACACACACACACACACACACACACACACACACACGTATTTATGTATGAATGTATGTGTGTGTGTGTATGTGCTTAACAATCCATCCATATCCTCCTTTGAAACATTGTTTGTATCAAACCAAACTTCAAACTCAATGTTTGAATATATCACCTTATTATAGAGAAGCATAAATAACCCCAAAAACATTTAACCTCAATTAAATACAAATAAAATAATGTGAGTTTATATGTGGTGCTTATTGGTTATTGGACACCTATTATAGATCCTTTCTACTGCCTAGAGATTGCCTATGGACTCATGTTCCATCTTATATAATTATTTGTGTACTAATCTTTGTTAACAGATGTTTATGGATACCTACTTTGTGTCTTGCAACATTGTAAGCAAAAATGCAGAACCGGAGAGATGGCTCAGTGGCTAAGAGCATATACTTCACTTGCAGACAACCATATTTCAGTTCCCAGTATCTATATCAGAAAGTTCACAACTTCCTGTAATTCAGCTCTAGGGTATTCAGTGTCTTCTTCTGGCATCTGTGAGCAACCTACACATGCACATGCCCCCACACAAACACCCATATATGCACATCATTTAAAAATAGATTAAAATACTACATACCCTGACTTCAAGAAATTTGCATAAAATTATTTTATTTCTATCTTCTTTTTTACCAATAAATAATAAGCTAACAAGCAAATGAGTAACACTAAAAGCTAACATTTTAAAACATCTTTTAGGTCTAAAAATTCAAAATCTGTATTACTTACAAATAGGCTTTTTTGCCTGGCATCTGTAAAGATGGACGTGACTCCCGTGGATGTCTAGTGCTAGAAGTGATTCATATACACATCACATGGGAAGTGATTCATTATATGGTACCTAAAGTGACTCAGAGGAGGAAAGTAAATCTTCGATATCTACAGGTGACAAAGCCTATTTCAGCTTTTACCAGGCATGATCATAGGAGAACTAAATTTCCCGTATGTCTGAACTAGTTCCTGGGAGTGGTTTGGGGAGTTGGACTTACCTATAAACTCTCTGTGTATGACAACAAAGAATTTAAGTCTATATTAGAACAGGATTCTCAACATCTGCATTTGGAACTAGATGCTTAAAACCCAGGTCCCTAGAAAGAGATGTGAAACTAAGACTGCGTGCAGGAGGTGAACTGGGGCATCCTCTCAAGAGCAGAACCTCGGAGAAGGAGGCAGGAGTGGTCCCAAGTAGGACACGATGGCAGGGGAAGCCTCAGCCATCCTCAAAGGTAACTCAGCTGGAATAACCATCCATAGTTGATTCAAATTGAGGAGAAAGGCGAGGGCCGGGTTTTTGTGTTCCTTCACAGAAAAGTCATCAAATGTAGACTGCCCCTCAACTCTGGGCATAAGCTCCAGCAAGGAAACATCCTTTGGCTAGGCACTCTTATGAGGAACTCAGCTGTGAGCTGTTACTGGCAGCTTCCTAGAGTGAGGGGACTGAACATGAACCCACATGGTGCAACTTCAACCACATCTACAAACACAGCATCCAGAAAATCACAACAAGCCAGGGCCCTGGATCTACTTTGATGAAAATCATCTTGTGTGTGAATTCAGGCCTTCACAAACCAGCTCAAGGTTAGATTGACATGGTGGAAGATAAAGTCATATGAGTATATCCCTTCTACTGTGTTTTCTATAGTGGCTCTATCCCTGGTCAGTTTCTCATTTTTCAGTGGTGGAGTTATTCTAATAGTATTCCATCTCCCTATGCTTCCTATACCCTTTAATGTGTTTATTTTTCTCAAATATAAAACTGATTGTGAAAATTACACACCTACTCACTGCCGATGGAATCACATTTCCAAATAATTTATGGCTCAAAACACTAGTATCACTATTTAACTCATCTAGTTCCTTATCTACTGTATGCGTCAGAAAAACCAGGATCTTTCCTGCTCCCCTCACAGACACAATTGCATCGTCCAGTCTTATCTCATTTTATAATGTCAATTTTCCCTGATTTCCGTGTGTCAATGCAATCTCTCTTTTTCTTCCCTTCCATTCCTTTGCTGAATAATTCAGTCAAAAGCCACTAGGCAAGACCAACCAAATGGTTACGGAGAGGTGGTATAGCAGCCCAGAGCAGGCTGAGCACAGTGAGAAGAATGCCCCATGTGCTGAGAGAGGTGGCTTAGAATCAGTATTGGAACCTGTGAATGGTAAGAAAGATATCCACCTAAGAAGGCAGTGTCTCTTCATTAATCAAAAACTAAACCCAAAGATGAAGTATCTGAGCCTCAGAAGATGAGAAGACCTTGGTGTGGAAAAGCCTGCTTTGGAGTTTGGAGTGACTCCAACCCTGAGAAGCAGGATCAGGACAGCAGATTCAGGGTCTGAGGAAAGCTTGTACTTCAAAAATTGACCCCTTTTGCAACATCCTCACATGGAAGAAGGCAGAAGGGTTTAGAGGATGGAACTCATTGCCTACAATCTTTGTAAAAGGGCACCGAGCTCTCTCAGGAGGGCAAAATCCTCATAGCCCAGTCACCTTCCAAAGGTCCCATTTCTGAATATCACCACTTTGGCATTAAAGTTCCAACAAATACATTTTCAGAGGTGCATTTGCATTCAAAGCAGTAGATTAGTGGCTGAACAAACTGTGCTACATGCATAGCATATACTGTTACTCAACAATAAAACCAATGAATTATTGAAACATGGAATAACTTAGCTCCATCCCAACCAAAGTACACTGAATTTTTTAAAAATCTAATCTAAAATGGTTACACCCTGTCCTAGTTAGAGTCATTACTGCTGTGAAAAAACACCATGACCAAAGCAACTTGGGGAGGAAAGGATTTATTTGGCTTACACTTCCAAGTTATTGTTCAGCATTGAAGTCAGGACAAGAACTCAAACAGGGCAGGAACTAATGCAAAGGCCATGGAGGGGTGCTGCTTACTGGCTTGCTCCTCATGGCTTACTCAGCCTGCTTTCTTATAGTACCCAGCATCACCAGTCCAGGGATGGCCCCACAATGGGCTAGGCCCTTCCCCATCAATCATGGAAAGTGATGTCATTCTATTTCAATTAAAAATATATTTAAACAAATATGAAAAGCAATTGAGGAAGACCATGTCAACATCTGTCCTCCACATGCATGTATACACACACACACACACACACACACACACACACACACACACACAACTAAATTCTGTATTTCATTGTATGTAATGAAAAGAATGCTGTATTACTTGGTTATATTCCTGTGTTAGACATATCACCTGAATCTAATCATGAAAAAGCATTACACAAATCAATGGGCTTTGTACAACCTCACTAGCCTGGATTCTTGAAATGTATCCAGAAAGGACTGATAAATCATTACACAGCAAAGACTAATGAGATGTAGCAACCACATGTAATATGTGGTTTTCAAGAGACTCGTTGGATGATTAGAAAAACTTAGTGCCTGTATTGGAGAACTTAGGGAAATACCATAGAAGTGCTTGGACATGGTGGCTTGTAACAAAAACGACTCATCCTCAAAGTGGTCCAGGAGAAAA